GGTGGAACTCTCTGGGTCTCTCCATTCACTTTACCAGAAAGCACACCCCAGGGGATGGTTTGAGGCCCCCATCATGACTCAATGTGCATCCCATTCTAGTACCTGCTCTGGCCTCCCAGACAGACACTGGGAGGGAGTGGGAGAGAGATTCATCACAGATGGAGTGCCACTCTGTTGGCACAGGCAGCATCACATAGCTGGTGTACAGATGGCATGCATGGAGCCTTTGGGGGACCTGGGAAAGTCATGGTCCCTCTGTGTCCCAGATCCCCCAGTTCTATGGAGTCTTAGGGAAGGAACTGGGTAGGCTATCAATCCCTTTGCTGAGGCCAGCACTGGAGGAATCCCTAGGAAGAGGACTCCACACCAGGCTACCTGACTAACAGCAGCTCGTTCATTTCTTCTCTTCTGCTACTTGCTCAAGATCATGTCAGATGGGCCATGAGGGCCAGGGCAGGGGTGCTGACAGAGTTAGATGGGACTTGTATCCTGACAGGACTGATGTGTCTGCAAGCCGCGTCCTCCTGACATTAAGGGAAGGTGATAGGAAGAGTGACACTGAGGGGCACCAGGCATGGGGACAGGTCCCCACATTCCACAACAAGGCAGCTGGGCAAGGTTACAGATCTACTTTCAAGCCCTCCGCATAGCTGGATTTGAAACGGCCACCACTCCTGCAAACAAGGTCATTTCAAAGATGACAACTCAGACTTTCTCCTTTCTATTCTTCTTCCCAATTAGAACTCAGCTGAGGACCAAGAGAAGCCAGGACTGGTTTCAGCAAGGGTATCCCAAACCCTGTACACAACTTCCCGAGTTCTCTTTCCACAGTGTGATGATCTGTGGCTCCCTCAGACCCAGGGTGTGTCCCTGCTATGCCTCAGGAGCACATAAGCCTTCCTGTTCCAATCCTCCGTTTTCCCCTCACCTGATGGGCCCTGGGCAGCAGCCCCTCTGACTCCACTCTCCCTTGGCTCATGGACTGCTAAGGCTCCAAGCTCTCCGGGCCTTGGCATGGCCATTCCTTTCTTGTGAGCTCTGCTCTCTGGCATCTACAAACCTCTCAGACAGCAAGACACAGCAAACCTTAGAAGGACCATCAAGGTCCTCTCATTCTACAGAGCACCATCTGGTTTGTTCTGAGCACTGAGAGCAGGGCTACCCTGTCTTGTGCACATATGGACTTTTATCACACGAGGTCTGAAGGCACTTTCCTGGCATTTTCCTTGGGGTTTATAATCTACATGGGGCGACACCATCCCCACTGCCCAGAAGAGGGTGCTGAGACCACACTGTGGGGTCAGTACAAAGCAGGACTCTGGGCAGTGTGTGGCCATCAGATCTGCAACAAGACATTGCCCATTGTGTTGCTCAGGTGCAAATGTAATGCAAAATCAGCTGCTGGAGGGGTTTCTGAACCCTGAAGGTTTGCTTGCACCCCTGTATGAGGGAAACCAGGTGCCTAGTAGGTGGCAAGTTGGAGGGCCACAACGACTCTCCCCAACTCCATTTTTACAGACTATGAAACTGAGGTTCAGAGGTCAGCAGGCCACCCATAGACACTCAGCAAAGCTGGGCTCCTGCAGCATGGAAGAACTGATTGGCCAGTATCTGGCAAGACACAGAACTCGTGATGATGGATGAAAACATCATTGTGCACTACCCCCAGACTGTGGAGTGCTACAGTCATCAAGTACCAGACAGGGGCAGAGGGAACTAAACACAGTGACAGAACCAGAAGAGGACAGGAAATCATGACAGTGATGGTGATTGACACGACCTTGGGGCTGCACTCTAGTGTTGATAAAGCTCTTGAGCAAGTACAACTATACTTGGATCTGCAGCAGTCAAGTGACTACTCCTGGGTATCACTGGCAGCATGGAAACTAGGAGGCCACATGCCGGTTTCTTGGGGGTCTTTCCCCCCCTTTTCCATTTCCCCTGTGCGTGCGTGCGTGTGTGTGTGTGTGTGTGTGTGTGTGTGTGTGTGTGTGTGTGTTTTCGCGCGCATGCGCATGTGTGCGTGTGTGCATGTTGATGCTGGTAGTCATCCTTGATCACTCTTCCACCTTATTCATTGAGGCAGGGTCTCTCAAGCAGACAGAGGTCACTAATGACCAGTACTGTTAGCTACCTTGCTCTGGGGATCCTCTGTCTCCGTCGGGAACTACAACAGGTGGGCTGCTATGTCCAATTGGCATTTATGTGAAACACCAATCTTCATGCTTATGTGGCAAACACTAATTGCTAAGCCATTTTGCCAGCTCTTCCTGGAGGACTTTTCTTCATCTGCTCTAGGCCTGGGCCATCAGGCCATGAGCTGTCTCACATCTGTACATCTGCTATGAAGAAGCCCTGAGACCAGGCGCTTTGACAGCCACTTTCTGGGGCCTGTTGAAGTCCTGTCTCATCTAGAGAGGAATCTGATGGGTGGTCCTTGATACTTATAAGCCTGGGAAGCAACATCAGATTGTGTTCGGGATGGGCAGAGCCCTCTGGAGATCCCAGCCCCGGACTGTCAGCTCTGTCATGGGTCCAGTGACCACCTCACTTCAGGCAGAATAGATGGGAATGGGTTCAGGTCCAGGCACTTCTCTGAGCCAGACAGAGCCAGAGGGAGACTTGGAGTCCAAGCCAGCTCTATACCTTCTCTCCAGAGAGGAACAGTGGAAGATACCTCTCAGGCGGGTTCCCTGGAACAGGCAGGGTGGGTGCTGGGACCTGCTGGAAGAGGGCTACAGGCCAGAGGTCAGAAAGAGTCAAAGGCAACCAGCAAGGCAAAAGTAGCCACTTGGTCTGTCACCAGACTGGGCACTGCCTTCAGGCCTTAACCCTACAACCTCATCACAGGCTCGGGCGGCCCTGGAGATAAGAGCCCCCTGGGCCTCTCCAGCAGCTTCCCACTAGGTGATAAGCACGGCCTGTGTGGGAGCTGATAGGCAATGGCTACCACGGCGGTTGGCCAGCAGCCACTTATCAACCCCATCGCTGCCCACTGCACAGAAATTCCTATCTGTGGGAGCCGATAGGGTACCGCCTGGCCCCTGAGGATGCAAATAACTCGGGAAGCTGGGCTGTACCCTGACCCCAAACCACAGCCCATGGAGCACGGCCTTCACAGGGGCAGGGCGGGCTGCAAACTACAAGGGCCTTGCTTCTCCATCTAAAAAATGAAGTAATAACACTTATGTGGATAAGGACGGTGGGTAATGTTCAATACTGATGTTGATGGCCTGGCTTCTGGATCTCTGTAGCAGCAGTTCCCAGCCAGTGATGCTCTGCTCTGCACTGAAGTGGGTATGACACTCTGCTGGCTCCATGGTGCTGATGTAAAGACCATCCATGTGGCCACCGAAGTCCATAGACACACATGATCCCTGCCATCCCCAGCAGGCATTGTCCCCTTTATGCTCTTAGACATGGAACAGGGACACACAGGGATTCCTGGTGCTGAGTCAGTACTCACAGACTCCCTTCTAGCTGGAGAAACTGAGTCAGCATAAGGCTGGTTAGAAGTGGGGCAGTCTGAACACAAGGCTCTGCCCAGTTCCATGGCTTTGGGCATGTGAGTGGAAAAGGCTGACCTGTGGGTGGAGAAGGCCCTGGCACCCGTGAGATCAAGTGCAATTACTCCCATCATGGTACCGAGATCTGGGGACACTGGTCTCAACTGAGGACAGGACCCTGGGTCAGTGCCCAACTCCCACCAGGCACCCAGGAGGAGTGGACAAATTTGTCATACATCTCAGCCAGGTCATCTAGAGCCAAGAGGTGTGCTAAGCATCAATGTACTAAGGGATGGCAGAGGGGAGTGCCCCAAGACAACTAGCCATAGGGCATTCTGTGAGTGGACTCAGTTTCCATACAGGGTGCGGGTCCCCATTCTGACTGTGGCCTTCCGGGCCAACCCTTCCTCTCTGGCCTCAGGCTGTTATTTCATTGTGTACCCCTCAGTCACACCTGCCACTCATCTTCCTTTGCACTGGTGGCAGACAACACCAATGGTCTCCCATACTCTTCTAATGCCATAGGACCCCACCAAAACACCCATAGGTTCAGTTAAGAGTCCATTTCTACCCCTTTCCAATGTGGATCCCTAGTTCCCCAGGGGAGGAACAGGGTCTCTGCCCCGGCAAAGCTTCCTCTGATCCCTCAGCAAGACAAGACCCTTGACATGCCTTCTAGACACAGACAGGAATCTGGTTGTGAGAATTCCTACATGCTCATACACAGCTGACACTCAGTAACTGTGTACACATGTGCTTCCCACCCACACGCTCAGCCTCCCAACTCCTCCCTCCTTGATACACCCCTTATACGTACACCACTTAACCCACCTTACCTACTTGCCCTGCACAGTAGCCCTCAGCCTGCAATAAGAGCCCTGGAAATATCACTGACACCCCCACTGTGCTCCTGGGCCATGGTATCTGTTTATCAGAAGCAAGGGTACCATGACTGCCACATTCTGAGACCTGGGAGATCTGAGCCAGCTGCCAGTTCCAGCTTAGCATGTGACCAGCAGCACTCATTGCCTGAAGATGTGCAAAGGTACAGGCCTGACTGGCTTGTGGGGCTGATGGTAACTAGGAACCTCAGATAGGCTGCAGCCCCCAGGAAGAGCAGGTGTTCTCCTCCTCACACAAGTCTGAGCCCACCTGGGCACCAGCCAGCTTAGAATGCCAACCATCTGCTGTTGGGAAGACCCCAGACTGGCAGCTCCAGCTACATCCTCTCGACACCCCTCCAGGTGCCTGTTCCTGCTGTCATCTCTCAGTCTTCATTACCAGTCACACCAGACCCTCCAAATGCTTCTGTCTACACCACAGGCTCTGGGTGTGAGCACTCCAGAGTCCAACTCAGACCATATTGCTTGGGCCAACTGCACAGACCTGGGCACCAGTGCTCTCCAAGAATCCAAGATAACCTAGTCTCCAGCTAGCCCAGAAGGCTGCCCTGGGGTCATAGCAATGCTGTACTGGGCTAGTCAGCCTGGTTACCTGGCCCACTCCAGGGACTGGCCATGGCTGCCTCTTCTTCCTTTTCCTCTTTCTCTTCATCCTGGGGTGGCATCTCCAACTCCTGCCCCTCCATATCCTCGGGACCTTCTGGGGACTCAGGGGGTGCTGGCACTGTGGGTGTACTCACATCTGTAAAGAGGAAAACATTGTCACATTCTTTCTGGGCTAGCCTGTGACCAGGAGGGAAACGGAGGCTAGGGGGCACACAGTCACCTGCCCTCCTGCTTTATCTAATACTACAGGTTTCCTCTTGGCCTTAAAAAGCCCTCAGCCCCTGCTGATCACAGCAGTAATAATTATTCCTTAGCAGCTGTCTGTCACAGCCCAGTGCCCACCCAGTGCACCTAGGCCTGTGGCCTCTGGCTCACTGGTCTCTGCAACAGCTGGGCCCCTCCACCAGCCCCGCACCCAATTCCAGCCCAAAGGGCATGTTTGCCTTCCTGGCTGGCCAGATAACCAGTGTGGCCCCCGATCGATGCGCTCCTGTAAAGCCCCCTGGGTGACGTCATGGGAACAGCAGATTATTAATACCACGATAAGGGCTGTGATTAACATCAAATAAATCAATCTCATGGTATAAAAGTCCTATTATTTTTGGCTATAAATCAAAGTGGCTGGCATCTGAGCTCCAGCCACTGTGAGGAGCCGCGCTGGACCCGCCTGAACGTCAGATATGCTCTTGCGCCGTTATCGAGCCCATCACTGCGTTATCACAGCCGCTGGTGCCAGGTGCAGGCCTGGCTGTTTGTCCCAGATCCTTCCCGGCCCCACCCGCCTACCCTCTCAGCAGCCCCAGCTCCCCAATCAGATAAAGACCCGCTCCCCTGGAAGCCATGGGTCAAAGTCCAGTAGCCGCCAACCATTTGCCCTTTGGCAGCTCGGCCACAGCTGCCTTAGTGCAGCTCCTGCCGGTAGCACCGATGGTGAAGGAGATAAGGTAGCAGCCTATGAGCAAGGCCACTTGCTCTCCTGGAGGTCACCCAGCAGAAACTGAGGCTGAGAGGTGGTCGAGGGCCAGCCATAGTTGGCTTCACCCCTCAGTACTGTATGCCGGCAAAAGCAAAGCAAACAGTAACAATGAGTAAGGTCCTGACTGGAGCCTGGCCTGGCACCTGCCCCCTCACTCCTGGGGCAGGTGTCCCTGGAGAGCTGAGGATGATGGAGTCAGGGCTTGACCCCCAGGGCTATTGCCAAGGAAGGGCCAGAGCCTCAGGCTGGGTGCTGGCCTGGGAAAAAGAAGGGAAGTGGGAGGGTCCCTGGCCTGCAGCCATTCAGTCAGGGACTCTAGCACATTGGTGGGGTGCACAGTGAGGAGCCCCCAGGGATGAAGGTCTATCCGGAATTTCTGTTCCCTATTCAGACTCGTAAAGATCTCTCTGATGTCCCCCTGTCCTTCCTTTTCTGTCAGCTCTTTTGTCCTGCCATCATAGTCCTCCTCGTCTTCCTCCTTGTTCCACTCGACCCTCCACCCTATCCCCCTACTGTGTGTGTGTGTGTGTGTGAGTGTGTGTGTGTGTGTGTGTGTGTGTGAGAGTGTGTCTGTGGGGGTGTGGGGGGGGTGAGAGTGTGTGAGTGTGTGTGTGTGTGTGTGTGAGTGTGTGTGTGTGTGTGTGTGTGTGTGTGAGTGTGGGGGGTGAGAGTGTGTCTGTGTGGGGGTGTGGGGGGGTGAGAGTGTGTGAGTGTGTGTGTGTGTGAGAGTGTGAGAGTGTGTCTGTGTGGGGGTGTGGGGGGGTGAGAGTGTGTGAGTGTGTGTGTGTGTGAGAGTGTGAGAGTGTGTCTGTGTGGGGGTGTGGGGGGGTGAGAGTGTGTGAGTGTGTGTGTGTGTGTGTGTGTGAGACTGTGGGGGTGTGTGAGTGTGTGTGAGAGAGAGACTGTGTGTGGGGGTGTGAGAGTGTGTGAGTGAGCGTGTGTGTGAGTGTGTGTGTGAGCGTGTATGTGTGTGTGAGAGAGTGTGAGTGTGTGTGAGTGAGTGTGTGTGTATGTGTGAGTGTGTGTGTGTGTGTGTGTGTGTGAGAGAGAGAGAGACTGTGGGGGGGTGAGACTGCGTGTGTGTGAGTGTGTGTGTGTGTGTGTGTGTGTGAGAGAGAGAGAGAGACTGTGGGGGGGTGAGACTGCGTGTGTGTGAGTGTGTGTGTGTGTGTGTGTGTGAGAGTGTGTGAGTGAGTGTGTGTGTATGTGTGAGTGTGTGTGTGTGTGTGAGAGAGAGAAACTGTGGGGGGGTGAGACTGTGTGTGTGTGTGTGTGTGTGTGTGTGTGTGTGAGTGTGTGTGTGTGTCTTCATGTGTGGTGGCCAGAGAACAACCTTGGAGGTCCTTCCTCATTGCTCTCTACCTTGTTTTTTGAGCTATTGTCCGTCATTGGCCTAGCACTCAACCAATCTGGCTGGCTGACTAGTGACCCCCAGGGACACACCTGCTCACCTTCCCAGTGTTGAGGTTAGAAGCACGCATCACCACACCTAGATCTTAGAGATGCTGAGACTCAAACTCAGTCCTCAAGCCTGTGTGGCAAGCGCGTTATGGACTGAGCCCATTTCCCCAGGCCTTTTGTCCTCTTTTTTGTCCCCCCTACCCTCTCTGTTGTCCATCCTCTGCCATCTGCTCTGTCCTGTGTCCCCCTACACACTTGCTGGCACCACTGCCAGAGCACCAGCCCTCTTCACATACAGCACAGGTGGTTCCTTGGGGATCTCTGCTTAAGGTCACCACCTGCCTCTCCTTCACTTCTGGTCATGTCACCAGTTGACTATCCTCTCAAGTGGCCCAATAGCTACACTGTCCAATCAGAGGCTGGCGGGCAAGGTTGGGGTGTGGCTCAACGGTACAGTGCTTGCCTAGCATGCTTGAAGCCCTGGGTTTAATCTCCGGCACTAGGTGGGGGTTGGAAGAGGCTAGTGTGGGCTAATTCAGACTCTGCAAAGAATAGTAGATATGGAATGGTATGCCCTTGCAGCTTGGGGCTGTAGGTGGAACAAAGGCTCATGGGTATTTAGTGAAGTGCTCCTGAAGTTCAGAGCCGCAGATAGACATGACAGGGCTTTAGACTCACAACCAGGTAGAGCCCGGGATACTGAGTCAGGATGCAGGTATCCCTTAGGTACCTCTCTACCATCTCTCCAGAACTCAGTGGCCTCCAAAAATGCAAGCCAAGTGCTGATCTCTCAAGTATTCTGCCTGTGAGTTCCCTCTTCCCCAGACTTCAGGGGGCATCTGAAGTTTCACTGTCCTACTTCCAGCACCTGGCCTGAACTGGCCTCATAGAGTTTGGGTGGTGTGGGGGTCTGTGGGATTTCCTTCCATGGCCTGTCTTCAGCTCCAGAAATGCACTGACCTGGGAAACTGCAACCAGGAGACCCAGTAGAGTCTGAGGAGGTCATGTGGGTGAGAAAAGGGGGCAATGTGACAGTGGGATGAGTCTAAACCCAGACCTAGGTCAGATTCTTGCTGGAGTGTGGGCTGTGATCCCAGGCAAGCTTCTTAACCTCTGTGGGCCTCATCCTTCAATACAGCATATACAGTGTGTTCTTTGCCTCTCAAGAGCCTCATAGCTCTTCCTGAGTATAGCTTGATACTGTGTATGGAGCCTAAGCCATGGCCCTGCAGATCCTGTGGACACCATTTCATAGGGGTAAATAGGCTGAGAGTGGCTTGGTTTTCCTGAGGTCTAGCCTTGGACTGGATTTTCCCACCCAGGCCTCAGTTACCTTAGTATGAGGCTGGACACTCACCTTCTCTGGGTGGGCTTGGGGGCTCCTCTATGGCTGGGGCCTCAGGGGATGTGGCCTTCTCCTCCATGGGGCTGATGTCCATGGCCTGGGTTTCTTCTCTGGCCTCCATATCTCTGAGAGAACCTGTGGACATGAGCCCCAGGGAAATCATGAGGTGCTTCTGGATAAGGCCACTCTGGTTTCCTAATGGCCAAACAGGCTCAGTTTTGGGGCCTGGGGAGAGTAGGCAGGACAAGGGCAGGGCCAGGTACCCATCACGGCAGAGGCTGTGACTCTTTCTGGTCTCCTGCACCTAGTATGCAAGCTCACCCTGTGTTTACCCCGACACTGCAACAGTTCCTAAGCTTTGGTGTCACTCGATGCACTTCCTATCCTTGTCCTTCACATTGTCTGTCCCTCCTCAGGTAATGGATACCTGCTTGTTAGGACAAGAGTCACAGCCCTTCCCAACCATACATTACCAATAGAAACACCAACACCGAGTCCTTTTGGACTCAGATGGATGCTTCAGGTCTTCCTGCCTCACAGGCTCACACACAGACTCACGGGGTCACACACAGAGTCATGGGGTCACACAGCAGACATGTCTACTCTTTGCTCATGGTGTCCTGCAGGAAAACTCTCAGGCCCCATATGTCAAGCCACCCCACACTTGGGGTTGGGTCCAGAGCTCCCCAATGGCGAGTTCTTATGCTCACTACATGGGGCAAAAACATGATGGACATAAACATAGCAGATGCATGATTGGTAGGGTGTCTGCCCTAGGGTAGAGGAGGGGACAGAAGACATGTAAGGGCCATCTTTGGTTTTGTTTTGTTTTTTCAGACAGGGTCTCATGTATTCCACGTTGGCCTTGAACTTACTATGTCAATGGTTCTCAACCCAGAGGTCACACCTAAGACCATTGGAAAACACAAATATTTACATTATGATTCACTGCAGTATCAAAATTACAGTTATGAAGCAGCAATGAAATAATTTCATAGTTGGGGGGGTCACCACACCATGAGGAACTATATTAAAGGGTTACAGCATTAGGAAGGTTGAAAACCACTGTACTATGTGGTAGAGGCTCCTGCCTCTACCTCCTGATTGCTGAGATTATAGGCATGCACCATCACACCTGGTATATGCAGTGTGGAGGCTCTAACCCAGGGCTTTGTGTATGGTAGACAAGTGCTTTACCAACTGAGCAATGGTCCTCAGTCATTTCTGGAGACAGGCCAGTGTCTCCAGGCAGGGGGATGTCTAGGATGCACCCCTTTGATATTTGGGGGCCCCCAGCCTCTCACAGCTAATGAAACCTGCTGCTCCCCAGAACAGCGGCTCAGGGCTGCTCCTTTTCAGGAGGAATGGGGGTTCTGTGGGAGACCCACAGGCCTGTGGCAGGGCCATCAATACCAACACGTGTTAGCTCACACCCAATACTGAGGCCATTGTGAGATCCATGGTACTAGTCATGTCAATGGCGTGGGGACCCATGAGGATGGAATAGAGGCCAGGCTGGGACCAGGTTTGTAGAGTGATCTTTCAGATGGGATGGAGGACAGATTTCTCTGTCTGAAGGACTACAATGGCTGTAATCCAGTCCACACTACTGGGGTCAGTGCCATCCTGCTCACACTGACCTCAGAGAGCCAGATACCATTCTAGCTAGGATGCAGGGGCTTCATGACATTGCCTGTGGCTCCTGGGGGCAGGAAAAACCAAAGAACCATAGTGGTTCCTAAGCCAGGAACGCAGGCAAGCGCAGGGGGTGAGACCAGGAGATGTGATGTGTGGGAGAGGGTAACTGCACCAGCGACAGAGTGTGGTGGGTGGGGGTGGAAGCTAACTAACAGGCAGAGCCCCACCACACTGGCCGTCTTCAGCCTGGGGCATGGGGGTGACATCACAAGTCCCAGGAAGGAGAAATGAGATAGGTTTCCTAGCTGCAGTACTGTGGGTGCCAGCTTTGGACCCAGCCTCCCAGAAACAGGACTAAGGCTCACAGTGGCAGACACATGCCTTGACCCGTATGACCTTGAACTAGGGCTGGAAAACAGTGCTGTGGTGGGGTCCACCCTGAGCGGAGCCATCCTTCAGGGCACTGGAGACTTCCCTGCCTAGGCTCATGCACCCATCCCTCTGTGGGAGTTCCATGCCTCTCCAGGGGCTGGAAGCCACCTGGAGTCTCAGCAGCCTGTTTCAGCAATGGGATGAAGCCCATTCTCAGCAACTCTGGGACTGAAATTGAGCTGGGCCAATGAGGGGGCACAAGCAGAAACATTCTTCCCTAGTAAGGTCATGGAGCCCAACCTGGTGCCCACCCAGGTGGCTCTCCCACACCCAGGCGCCTGGAGCTGGGATGTTCCTCCATTTACAAGAACAAAGGCGAGCGCTCCTCACAAAGCCTTGTGGATGAGCGTGGAGAAAGAAGCCCGGGCTGCAAGACGGCTCATTCTGATGTTGTTAATTCCGTTCCAGAACAATTAAAATGGCTATGATAATGCAGGGAGACAATCGCCACTGGCAAACAGAGAGAGCCCACAGATGGGATGTGGCACTTCTGCCTGGAGCCGCTATGGCCTTCTGAGCCCTCAGTTGGCTTTAACGGAGCTGAAGCAGGCACTGGGCCCTCTGGTACACCTGGCCCCATAAGGGCTGTGGAGAGTAGAAAAGAAGCAAGGTGGCCCTGTACGTCGGGGGTCTCCATGGACCATGGCTGGACACTGTCCCTCCCTAGGATGCCGTATGCCAGGGTCCCTCTGGGAACCCTCACTATCCCCAACAGGCAGAATGACAGATAAAAATGTGTCCTTGCTCTGTGACCTTGGGCAAGCCACTCTACCTCTCTGTATTCCATCTCCTCAGCTATGAATGGAAACTCTCACAGCTGCAGCCTCCCAGGACGGCTTGCTGGCACTATCAGAGTGCAGCTTAGGGTGCTGGGGGCCAGTGCTTTGCAAACACCAGCTGTCACTGGTTACTGCCACCAATGGCCCAGCACGACCAGGAGATGGGGAAAGTGGTTTATTAAGCACAAACTGTGTACAAGGGGCCTTGGCTCAGCATTTCACAAATGTCCTTCCTTAACCTCTCTCGCTTACATAGCTTAGTGAGGTCATCTTCCAGTCCTCTCTCAGATGGGGAAACTAAGGCACAGAGGGTTCATGCTGGGCTAGATCTTGGTATGTAGAGGAAATACAGAGTATGTAATGTGAGCCAGACTGGGTCCCATGGGAATTGGGGCAAAGAACAGTGAGGGTGTAGAGTGGGGAACCTAAGGCCAGTCCTATCTAAATTCCATTTCCATAAAGTGCCTAACATCCCCCAGTGGGAAGTCTGGGTTGCACCCACTTTATGGACAGGTAAACTGAGGCCCATCCAACTAAGGCAGAGCAACTTGCTCATGATCCTCAAGGAAAAGGCAAGGGGATGGTGCATGGAGAGAAAGGAACCTGGACAACATTAGGATCTGAGCAGACAGGCTGTCTCCTCAGCACTGTCTCAAACTACACCTCCCATTACCCATAGTGAAGCTGACGCTAGCCCTCTTGCCTGGCTACTGCCCAGGTTGGAGATGTCTGGGCACAAGACGGCACTTCTGTTCAGTGGCATCCACAGGCCACCGTGGTGGTCACCCACAGTCAGGACAGTACTGGGAGCAGCCCCCATAGTGCCCCAAGCCCCTTGGTTATCACAAGGAGCAGATGCCCAAGCGCCCATCCATCTCCTGCTCATTAAGCCGGACGCCGCTTGGGAATGAAAACATAATAGCTATTTGATTGGGGGTGAGATATTTTGCATATTGGCTCAGAGCTGATAGTGGAATTTCATCAACTCCCTTTTTCATGCTTTAAAACTGAATTATGGAGACAGGCTCTGTGTGGCAGGCTGATGCCCACTCCCTTCCAGGTCCCTGTGTATGCAAGGATGAGTACAGCCCTCTCTCAGCTTGGACGAGTTGCACTGAAGGGTGGTGGTGGTCATTTTGAAATCACCACATGGAGGTCCCTGCAGGTTCTGGAAGAGGGATAAAATCCCCCAGTCTGTGTCCCCCAGGCAGCAAGGAGGGTTGTCATGGTCCAGGTTAGGATTCTGTTCCTGGGTGAGACCCTTGCAGACCACCACATGGGGATGGGGACCACTGTAAAAACCGGAGCAGCACCCACCTCCCCAAACCCAGCAGGAGTCACGGACCGAGGCCCATTGGAGCCTGCCTGGCATAGGGTCCTTTCTTTAGGATCCCCCAGGGATTCTTTCCTCTCTTCCTATAGATGGAACACAGGTGATCTGGAATAGCTGCCTGCCCATCCTTGGGCAACAGAGATCAGAGAAGGATCCCAGGCAAACCCCCCAGAGAACAGACAGCCTCAGTCCTAATTTCATCTAATTACACACTCACTGATTCACCCATCAAACCTTTCCCATGCCCTTGTTGTGCCAGATTCAGGACCAGGAGCTGGAGACAAAGCAGTGACGGAACTTCTTTCCCCAAAGGAGGAAAGGTGCCAGTGAGCATGGCAGGAGGGGGAGAGGTGTGAGGGGAGGATTCCCGGAGGAGGTGGCAAGGACTGACGAGGGAAGAGACTCCCTGCCAGGGGGCCGGGGAGGAAGGAGTGGGGTAGAGGGGCAGTGCACACCAGGCAAAGCAGGACCGAATATTCCCTCATAGAAAATGAGGGGCAGCCTCTTGGGTGGAGTCCACACAGCCATATGGGATAAAGGCTGGGAGCACAGCCTGGGGTTACTGTGACAACGGCTGTTCTTTTCAGGGCTGGAGGGGGGCACTGGGAGGAATAGGAAGCCCCCTCCCATCTTGGCTGGTAGAGGCCTAGCCTCCTCACCTCACTGGAATGGCTTGGCACTGCCAGGAGGGAGACCCTGGCCTCCAGCAGGACCCAGTGGCCAGATAAGGCCCCGATAGCAGGGAGAAAATAGCAACAGATACAGACTTTCCCACCACCGGACAGCGGGCAGCTAGGGCCATGGCGGGGACAGACAGGCGGCAAGATAGCCCTGCCCTCCCTCAGGGGCCAAATTTAGGGAGCTTAGCTTCACAGGACTCAGCCCAGTGGGGGACTACAGCCAGAGAGTCTCCGGGCCTGCATCTCAAGTCTAAGGTCTAAAGCCTTACTTCC